GAACCGTAACATGAATGATCTGCGCCAGCAATTCGACCAGATGTCCGTGCGGCAAGAGCAGCAGGCCCAGAGGCAGGAAGCCTACAATGCCCGGCAGGAGGAGATGTATCAGCACCAGCAGGTGATGCGGCAGGAATGCACAACATTCCAACAGGAATACCGCGACGAAGTCCGGGAGCAAGCGGACTTCCGATATCACTTCTACCAGCAATTCCCCGGATCGTCTCCAGAGGACAGCCCTTAGGGATTGTACTTGCCCAAAATAAAATGTGGTTGTAATAAAATTTCCTTATAAATAAAATTTTATTTCATGCATTTCTTTGCCACCCTTTTGCAAAAGTCAGCGTAACAAAAAAGCTTAAAAAGGAAAAAGGCATACGCTCAATAAGAAAAGCCAAAATCCAAAATCGCGAGAAAAAAGAGATAAAAACCGCGAGAAAAAGGCTGGATTAAAGACAAGCCACCCACCTTGATCGACAAAACTTCGACTACCAAGCAGAGTCGAACAGGCAAACAAAAAAAGACAACCAGCCAGCAAGAGTCGGATGATCACTACCAAAAGTCAAAAACAAAGAATCCCCAGCAGCCAACAAAGCTGGACGAAACACCAACAAAATCCCCGGCACAGTCTAGATGACCATTCAAAGAGGTCTATGTACATCTACCAACACAGAAATCACTCCCCAAGGAGCCGGCGCATGAGCTACCCGAGCAGTAAGCCGCCACTACCACCAGTCCTACGCAGCGGACTGTACCAGCCTGATAGGGGGTTTATACCTATCAACCTGCGCACGCGATGCGCCTGATCTGCGCTCTAGCCGGATCAGTAAGTCGCACTACCACCCTGATGGGGGGTTCATACCCATCCAGTCCCACACAACGGACTGCAACTACCAGCCTGATGGGGGGTTTATACCCATCAACCGAAGGATCGGCTACCGTCAGAAGGAGTATCCTGAGGTTTTACCACGTGTTAACCAAAGGGATCGGCTACGTCAGAAGTAGTATCCTGGAAGTGCACGAGCACCAAGTTTTCCCCAGAAGATCAACCGCCGTAAGACGGAATATCCGAAGGGTAACCGGGCAAGAGGGTCAACTCCTTTACCTTCCTATCAATCTGTCTGGCACAACAGGCCAACAGTCGACTAGTCAGGTAAAGGCAGGGCAGCTGTAGACCCCAAATCTTGTCCGGCCTCCAAATAAAGAGTAGAAGACCTCCTATTTGAAGATGGACGAAGCCTAACAAGCCACTAGGAGAGACTATTAGGCCCCATACTAGGATAGGAGGGATTTTCCGCACAGAAAATAAGGTTTCTCGCCTTTTTGGGACGAGATCGCCGTCTCGAAATCGAGACCGCTGTCTCGCCTCACATAAAAGGCGAGACCGCCGTCTCGCCAAACGAGACGGCAGTCTCGCCACCTGCGAATGGCGAGACGGTGGTCTCGCTTTCCCAGACGACGGTCTCGCCACCTGCGAAGGACGAGACGGCGGTCTCGTTTGGCGAGATGGCGGTCTCGTTTGGCGAGACGGCGGTCTCGTTTGGCGAGACGGCGGTCTCGACCCTGTCAGACGAGAACGGCGTTCTCGTCCTGTCAGGCGCGAAAACCTATAAATAGGGGCTCCCTCCCCTCATTTCCACACACCACACAGCATTCTCTCCTCCTTCTCTCTAGGATTTCTCTCTCTAGAATCCCTCCGACGCATTTCTGGAGCTTCTGAGTGTCTTTAGAGTGAGTTTTCGAGCATTCCGAGAGGTTTTCCGGCACTGTAGAGTGAAGGGTTGCCAAAACGCACCCAATTTATTGAGAAATTAAATAGAAAGCTTGCTTCGAAGGTTTCTACTTTCTCCCTCACCTTTTTACCGCTTTATTTAAATTACGCAATAGATAGGGCCATGTAGTCATAATATTTTAATTCCGCAAATAAAAAAGGGTAAAAGCGTATTTTCCGGTTTATTTATCAATAAAATAGCTGGCCTGTCATAGGGATCCCGAAAGGGGCATCGTAAAGGAACTAACACTTCCTTTACACGTAACTAACTCCCTTACCCAACTCTGGTTCTAACGACCAAAGTTGGTTTTTCGAAAACCAACGCCTTTTAAACTCCTTTTCCGATGTTTCCGGTAAAAACATCGGTGGTGACTCCACAGAACCCTTCAAAAATTAGTCCTTGGGTTAGCCCGGTTATCGGACAACCCAAGGACGACCTTTTGAAAACCTCGCCCCTATGTTAGCCCGGTTATCGGACAACCTAAAGGCGTTGTAACCACCCATAAAAAAACGCAAAAATCAAGAGGGTCGAAACCATCGCGTCGCTCCGACCGTCTCTTTTTGACGGCGGCAACATAGGCGATGTGGGACTTTCAACACATCTCCTCCAACGAAGCCTGTCGGACCAGGCAAAGGGTACTTTTGACCCAACTAAAGGGCAACTTTTGGCCCATGACAATAACTGGAAAGATGTTTGGCTTTGGCTCTGATACCATGTTGAATATAGAAGAAATAGAGTTTGGAATTAATCTCCCTTTTGTATAAATCACACATAGGGTAGTCTATTTATAGTAGAGAGGTACAACTAAAAGAGTAACTAAAAGTAACAGAATAAATAGAAGATATTATTTGATATTGTGGTTAACAATATATAACAATATCTTAACAATATCAAATAATATCTAAACAATATCTAACCGTCATTACAGTAATGGTGCCTACAAACATCTTGCATCATACTCCATCAAATCCCCCATCAATCAACATCTAAGCCCTAAATATCTTCAAATGAATCATCGATTCACTCGTTCCATTGAAGGGATTTGTCTTTGACACCAAATAGTGGATCGGGATTGGCTCATCCATTATTATGGAAGCGAATGGTTAAAAATCCCCTCCCTATAATATTGAGTTTGTCCTTTCTCTCCTTCTTACTAATGGTTGTTGCATGTTTTGTTGAAGCTTCTCATTTTTTATGCAATTATTCTTACTCTATTCTTGCCTCTTCAATCCTCAATCGTGCCTCCTTCTTTTGTTTTCACAATTCCTCCATCATAGTCATCATCATCTTCATCGTGTGAGTGTTGTCCTTTCCAATCGGTTGTGAATTTTCTCGCATACTACGCATTCTTCTTTGCGTTCTCCATTGACATGTAGCAAGAAACAATGTATTGTTCCCATATATGATGCCAAAATATTATTGCCAAGAATTATTGGGACTTTGGTTATCCATGATTCAAGTAAAACCTATTTGTAACTTAATCCTTACCTTTTTTAATAGGTTGTTATACTCCAAATCTGGATTCCCTAAATCTGAGTATGAGATTCTATTATTATGTTAATGGTAGAAGATTTATATCGAAATATTATAATTTTGAACAAAATTTTAAGAATAACATCATTTTAAATCATTTCGCCTTATGAATGACATGGTGAATCGGTCACAAGTCGATACCATTTACTTCGGACACCACAGATTCCATATTGGAATAACTAAAGGACTACCAGAGAACTAGTCAACAATAGCATCCTTACCTGAGGGAAGTGTCCTCTATGTCTCAATTATGATTGTTTGGTGTTCAGTCTTTCGTCATCGACATCAACACATAAAATCAATAAACAAAATAAAAATTAATGGACTACGTAAAAGACACAAAATACTGACCTAAAGATAAATATTATTTATCTCAGAGTTGGTCATCTGTCGACTCCTGCTTAATCAAATCATTACAAAAATGAAAAATTATTAATATCTCGACTTATTATACATCATGGTGTCTTTTCAACCACCAACAAGCTTTAATTCTTTACCTAATATAACAGTCAAGGTTAATTTTTAAAATATTTATTATATGTTTGGAACAGTGATGGCTTAAATTACCCATATTAGATTTCCTTCTACAAGCCCATATATCATATACGCTAGCCCAAGGGAGTCCAAGATGGGAGAAAATTGGGTTACATTTCCGTTTTCTAATGCTAAAATCTAGTTAGGATGCTAACGATGCTATTCGCGGAACTTCTATTTTCGCTCACGATATTCTTCCGTACATAAATCATTTTCATAATATAAGTATATAATGTCTAATCATTCGGTCAATTCATCATGCTATTACTTTTTAACTTCATAAGAACATAATAAATGTTGGCAATGAATTGGGATGGTGTCAATAATGGTAGCAATAAGTTGGAAAATTAGGAAAAAGACATATAATATTGATGATTTAAAGCCCCCTTGGTTGGTGGTATCCATACGGACATTACCGTCGTTGCAAATTAAATTTGTTGCTAGTGCGGAGAAACTTATCTTTTCAAATAGAGTCTGATACATTTTCTTTCACACTTCTCTTTTCTTTTTTAAATAATATTTTCTCTTAATTTTTCATGCACTTTAAATTGAAATAAATCTAAAATATGTTAAATATCTATTCTGACAAAAAATAATTCCATCAATGGAATATATTAGCGGAAGGTCAAAAGATTGAATTTATATATTATACCATTGAATATATTTTAATAAACCGAAAAACATAATTTTACAAAACTTTTATCAATAAAACATTTGGTGCTCTGTAATTCATGCAATGTATACTTTTAAAATATACAAAATATTAATTATTTTGGTTATCTTATTATCATTCCATGTTGATAAAATTAGGCACTGAGTATTTATATTCAAATTCAACCATTCGATAAATAAATTTTTTTGAAATTGGCTGCGGGAAATGAAAATGAATCAACCAAAATCGTCAAGCCACAACGCCACGGGATTTCATCCAGTGTTGGAAAGCCTAGGAAAAGTGATTGCAATGAAATATATATATATATATATATATATATATATATATATATATATATATATATATATATATATATATATATATATATATATATATATTTCAGGGTACAGTGAAAGTTGAGATTGTAATAAAAAAATGGCCAGTCTATCCAATCAATGACTTTCTAATCAGTACAAAAAATTTGATGATGTCGCTAAAGCCAATTCTGTTCATTTACTTTTCTCTTTTCGGTTTCTGGATACAGGATGATTCACATTAACCTTGACGCCCCTAATCTGGTTCTGCAATGTTTCTAAGTTCTGACCATTGCTCAGGTTCTGCAACATACAGGAACAGCCTGAAAAGAACATGATTTTACTAAGAAGAGTAGACAGGGACAACAGTTTTCAAGTTATGTTCCCCAGTACATGGAAAATCATCTGGTGTGCACCTACAGAGAGAGAATAACGTAATGAAGAATATAAAGTAACATAAGAACAAGTATTAAATGTGGGTTTAGAACTCCGGAACATGAACCCATCCCTCCATGGATATTCAAACACAGCCTAGGTCGAACAGACATCTTGCTTAAGATTAGGTTGAATCGAACAAGTATGAATTGAAAAATGTGGGCTTAAGCTGGTCAGTTGCCAAATTGAGGTTTAAGTTTAACAAGTTTATCAGGATCAAGGTTACAAGTTGTCAATTTCTATTATCTTAGTCATGAATCAATGAAACATTTTGGTCCTAATTATGAAACTACTTTATAGTTTAAAGCATTTTTAGGCAATTTCGATTTGTGAACTGTGATGTGAATGAACATATAGACGTCATTTTTGTTCACGATGCAAAATTGTAAACGGGAAAACCTGTTGATGTATAATCAAGTCCGATTACCTTCAACGTCGTTCCTCCATTGCTGCGTAAAGCATAAACAAATCATGCATCCTAAGAATTTTTTAGGTTTGTCGAGCCAATGATATTCATAGGTGTCTTTGCCTGACTACCCTTGGCACTACCAGATGCCTGGCCAGCAGAGCCTTTAGCATGTGCCGCCTCAGTTGCTGCCATGGATTTCTTTATCTGTCAAACAATGACAAATGAAATCATAATCACCAACATCATATTAAAAATAGCAACAAAAATAGGTTAAGAAAATAAAGAACACATAGGAATAGGAAGGGAAATAAAAAAGAGTCTTCTAACACGTCTTCATGCTGGCAGGAGTAACCACACGAAACAACTAATAGATATAACATAAATCCAAAATAAGAAACCAAAACTTACAGCTGCTAGACGCTCCTTGTGAATATCACTTGTAATCTGAAATATCATCACAAATTACAACAAAATAATATGAAATTCAAAAGAGTATAAACCAATCAATAAAAAAACATAAAGATGCAACAAAGATTTCAATATCATTCTTACCTGTCTTCTGTAGCTTTTAATCTCATCACCGCCAAATCCAGGAAGTGACATGTTCCAATTTTTCTCTATATGACATGTCAATTGCGTTAGAAGTGAAACTGCCGAAAATAAAATCTGAGCATGGAATTTTTAGCAACTAACCAAGATGGAGAAGTATGTCCTTCGCTTCCAAAGTAGTTGATTTCCTATGCTTGGCCAATGAACAACCAGACCTGATTATCTATTTAAAGAATAGATAGATAATGAACATTACTGAAACTATCTAGAGAGTAAAAAAAAAAAAAAAAAAAAAAAAAAGGATAAGAGAATTATATAAATGAAGACCAGGAGCAATTGAGAACATAGTTCATTTCCATAAAAATTAATCATCATCAATAGAGTAATTCATAAAACAACTCATGGCAAATTACTTTAGGATAAAATTATCAACAATGAGTGAAAAAATAAACAATTATAATCATTGTTCACAATTAATCATCTTCTAAAAATATGTCATTTTGTATTTTTATTTATTTTGTAAAAAAACATCTTTTAAAGACTAGGTTATATATACAAACATAACTAGCAGAGAGGAGGTAAAATGACATAATTTTGAAGAAATTGACATTATTACCAAGGGACTGGACTGCCATAATTTTGTAAAGATTGTATCCAAGTTGGGAATGAAAAACATCTATTCACCAGTTTGAGGGGGAGTGTGGGAAATCAAATAGTATTTTAGGAAATATAATAACTCTATTTTATTCTAGGATCCCTTGATTTATGAGATTGTTTCTAATTATTCAAATCTGTACATATTACAAGGAAATATACAAATTTCCTAATTTATTCTTTCCTAAAATACTATTTGATTTCCCACACTCCCCCTCAAGCTGGTGAATAGATGTTTTCCATTCCCAGCTTGGATACAATCTTCTCAAAATTATGGCAGCCCAGTCCCTTAGTAAGAATGTCTGTAATTTGGTCATGAGAGGACACATATGGAGTGCATATCAAGCTTTTCTTTGATGAAGTGTCTGTCTACTTCAATATGCTTTGTTCTATCATGCTGCACTAGGTTGTGGGCTGTGCTGACTGCTGACTTATTATCATAATAGAGCTTCATAGGTTCTTTTCACTTTATCCTCAAGACTTCTAAGATGATTTTAAGCCATAGTAACTCACATATACCTTGTGCCATGGCTCGGAATTCCGCTTCAGCACTGGACCGAGCCACTACACCCTGCTTTTTGCTTATCCAAGTCACAACATTTCCTCCAAGAAAGGTGCAATATCCTGTAGTTGACCTCCTATCCACAATTAACCCTGTATAATCAACATCAATATAGGTTTCAAGCTTCACATTACCATTCCTTTTGAATAGAATCCCTCTTCTTGGAGTTCCTTTAAAGTACTATAAAATTATGTGGGCAGCTTGTAAATGGGTCTCCTTTGGACTATGCATAAATTGGCTAATTAAACTCACTGTATAAGCAATATCTGGCCTGGTATGTGACAAATATATAAGTTTGCCCACTAATCTTTGGTACATATCTTTTTTAACAGCAACATCTTCTTCTGTATTTCCAAGCTTTAGGTTTGGTTCTAATGGGGTACTAGTAGATTTGCAAGCTGCCTTGCCAGTTTCCTTGAGCAAATCAGTGATGTATTTTTGCTGAGATATAAATATCCCTTTCTTGGAGTGGGCAACTTCAATTCCCAAAAAATATTTTAGTTTTCCCAAGGTCTTGATCTCAAATTCATTGCCTAAGCATTGACTCAATAATTGCTGCTCTTTTTTATTATCTTCAGTTAATATTATATCATCCACATACACCAATAATATTGTTACTCCCCCTGACTTAGAATGTTTAAAGAACAAAGTATGGTTCCCTTGGCTTTGTTTGTAACCCAAACCTGTCATAACTTTAGTAAACCTGTCAAACCATGCACGGGGGGACTGTTTTAGCCCATATAATGCCTTTTTCAACTTGCAAACAGTGTTGGCAACAACATCTTTACCATATCTCGAAGGTATCTCCATATAAATTTCTTCTTCAAGGTCTCCATGTAGGAAAGCATTCTTAACATCAAATTGTTCCAAGTTCCAACCATAATTGGCAGCAAGGGACAATATCACCCTAACTGTGTTCATTTTGGCAACCGGAGCAAAGGTCTCCAAATAATCAACTCCATATGTTTGGGTGAATCCTTTAGCAACTAATCTTGTCTTATATCTCTCAATTGATCCATCAACCTTGTATTTCACTGTATAGACCCACTTACATCCAACTGGTCTCTTTCCTATTGGTAAGGTGACTAACTCCCAGGTGTTGTTCTTCTCCAATGCCTCCATCTTAACATCCATGGTTTGCCTCCATTGTCAGACAATGCCTCAGATAGGGTATTAGGTAGAAGTGCAGTGTTTAGGTTTATTAGGAAGGTTTTATATGTAGGAGAGAAATTTTTAAAGGACAGGTAATTTGAGAGAGGGTAGAGTGGCTGTTTAGTGCATTTTCTTATCCCTTTTCTAATGGCAATTGGGAGGTCAGGATCATTTTGGGTTTCAATTTCAACCTGCACAGCTGGAGAAAAAATTGTTACCTCTTTTTATGGAGTCAAGTTGGATTCTTGAACATGGCTTGATCCTGGAATGGCCTTAATCTTCCTTGAGTACACCATCTTCTTACCAAATTTTTCAGCTTCAACATCTCCTTGATCAGCTTCACAATTAATTTCACTTTCTTGACCAACTTACTTTTCTTGACCAATCCCTTGACCTGTTTCACTTGTTACAACTTCAATTTGATCTTGTTTAGGTTCAAATATCAAGTCTGGAAGAATGAAAAAATCAGAATTACTACTTTCCTTATCTTCCCTGAAACTCTCCCCCTGAAGATAAGGTTGATGGAAATAGGCCTCTTGTTTATTGAAGGTAACATCCCTAGACACACAAAATTTTTTGGATGGAGGGTGGTAGCATTTATACCCTTTCTAAGTGGATGAATAACCAACAAAGACACACTTTAAGGCTCTAGGATCAAGTTTCCCCCTATCTGAACTATGAATATGAACATATGAGATGCACCCAAAAACTCTTGGTTTAAGATTATTTGTAGTGGACAGGTTTGGATAGAAAGATGACAAAACTTCCATAGGGCTTTTTGATCCTAAGACTCTAGAGGGCAGTCTATTGATAAGGTGTGTTGTTGTAAGGACAGCTTCCCCCCATAAATTTTTTGGGACACTTTTTTAGAACAACAATGCCCGAGTTTGATTTAATAGATGTCCATTTTTCCTCTCTGCGACCCCATTCTGCTATGGTGTTTTGACACAAGAGGACTCATGAATTATACTTTCTTTTTGACAAAAAGAATTAAGGACATGATTGAAGTAATCTTTGGCATTATCTGACCTAAGCCTCTTAATATTAACACTAAACTAATTTTTTATCAAGGAGTAGAAGCTTCTGATTTTTGTTTAAGTAGGAAAACCCAAGTGACCCTTATACAATTATCTATAAAGATGACAAACCATCGAGCACCAGACACATTAGGAACATTAGAATGTCCCCCATACATCAACACATTAGGAACATTAGAATGTCCCCCATACATCAATATGAACAAGATAAAAAGAGAAATTGCTAATTTTATTACTTATTAGAAAAGACACACGCTTGTGCTTAGCAAGTTCACACACCTCACAATGAAGACTCTCACCATCTAACTTGGTAAACAGAGAGGGAAACATAATTTTGATCACTCCAAAAGAGGGATGTCCCAACCGACAATGATAAAACATGATTTTTTCTCTGTTGGTCATCAAGGATTCAGATATAAAGGAGTGAGAGATTTTGTTCTTGCTAGACAAACTTGGATCTTAAAGATAATAAAGGTCATTCCATTTTCTAGCATGTCCAATCATCTTACCTGAATCATTGTCCTGAAATACACAATGATCGTTCAAAAAAACTTTACATAACAAATCCTTTATAAGTTTTTGTATAGAAACTAGGTTGGTGGATAGCTTTGGGACATGAAGAACATCTTTTAAGGTTATTATTAAAGGATTGATTTGGATATTTCCTTGACCATCTGCTATGGCAATTTTCTTGTTACTGGGACATGGGAAATATGTGGAGAAGTGTTTGGCTAATGGTGTCATGTGGTCTGTGGCTCCAGAGTCCAATATCCAATAATGGTTAAAAGGTGTATCTGAGACATTTAATCCAAAAGAAAGTGGAAACTTACGCCAAAGAACACACACCTGTGAGTTTTTCCAGCTTATTAAGAAAGGTTCTCACTCTTTCTACCTCCTCTTGATTAAGATGGGCAGCAGCTTCTGGATTATTTTCTTCATTTGTTTCAGCAGCAACATAAACTTGTCCTCCTTTCCTTGAGGAGCCTCCTTTGTGTCCCCCTTCTCGATCTCGATTTAAAGGTTTCCCATGTAACTTCCAACACTTCTCTCGGGTATGATGAGGCTTATTGCAGTAGGTACACCAGAGACCATCACTTTTCTTCTCCACATTTGTTGATCCTCCTTTCTTCTGTTCGGTTACCATGGCCAAAGTCTAATCTCCTGTATGGTCAGCCACCATTGCTGAGTTCTCTACTGCTGGACTCTCTAACATGAGACCCCTTCTACTTTCTTCACTTCTCACAATAGCCACCACTTCATTGAAGCATGGTATCTTTTGCTTCCCCAATATTTGAATCCTAACTTGATCAATTCAAGATTCAAACCAACAAGGAAATCATAAACTCTGTCTTGTTCAATATACTCCTTGAGAAGTGTTGAATCTTCAGTACATTTGGCTTTTATGACTCTATAATGGTCTAGCTCCATCCATAATGATTTCAGCTGATTGGCATATTCTGTAACAATCGTGTTCCCTTGTTTTGCTACCAAAGTTTTCACCTTTACTTCACATACGTGAGCAGCATCTTTGGCTTTAGAGTAGGTTTGCTCTACGGCATCCCAAATCTCTTTTGCCGAATTAAGGAACATGCAGGTGTCGTTGATTTCTGGAATCATTGAATTCCACAGCCACGCCATGATCATTGAATCTTCTTCATCCCATGTAGTAAACTTGGGATCCTCCTGTTTAAGTCCAGACTCCATCAGGTGACTCAACTTCCCCTTTCCCTTCAACACTGTACGAACAAGTTGGGCCCACTTCAAATAATTTCTTCCATTTAGTCTATATGCAGAATGAATATTCTGCAGTTCTCTAGATTGCTGGGATTGGGTATTCCTTGTTTCTGGGGTTGGATTCACAACTTCCTCTTCTCTTGACATTATAGCAAGAAGGTGTGATGCTGCAGCAATGCAGACTGTCATCTTAGGGTTAAGAAAAATGCAGCAACAATGCAGGCTGCCGTCTTAAGGTTTATAGTGCGCAGACAGAGCTTCCTAGATCGGAAGCTCTAATACCATCTGGAAAATTAGATTAAATGAAATATGATTTTATTATTTTAATACAAAGAGATGATATAAGATATATACAGGAGACCTAAGCTATTTTAGGAAATATAATAACTCTATTTTATTCTAAGATCCCTTGATTTATGGGATTGTTCCTAATTATTCAAATTTGTACAGATTACAAGGAAATATACAAATTTCCTGATTTATTCTTTCCTAAAATATTATTTGATTTCCCACATATATACAAACATAACTAGCAGAGAGGAGGTAAAATGGTGAGCCTTAAAATAAGGAGACTAAATAAAAATCTTATCAGCATGCAAATACTCACAGACTCCAGAAAATTTTCTGCGATATCCACAAGAATATCAGCAACTTCAGGATCCAGCTTCTCCAATGGATCTACCTGCCAATAAAGCATAAAAGTAAAACATAGGAAAACAAGAAACATGTTGGGAAATGTAGGGCAGTTACAAGATTGTCAAATCATTAAAATTATGAACTTTGAAATGCCTCATGCCATATTCAATCTGATAATCCAAGTTAAATTATAAATCCATGTTGTAAAAATGAAAGTCGAACTATATTTCTGCAGAACAAAGTGCTTAAAGGAATCATCCATTAAGAAACAGAGGGCAATGGCAACTACAAGAAGTTGAAAGTTCTGGGTAAACATTTCTGATAACCACCAAAAGAGAATAAATAGCACACACCTCTATAGTTCCATTTTTTCAGCTTAACTTCAAGAAAATAATTGGCTCCTTCTTTAGAAGTTCTCTCAATCTCAGGAAGTTGCAAAAAGAAATAGTTTTCACGAAATAAGCTACTCCAAAGGGAAATTAGGTTAGGCCAGTGGCTTCAAAACAATTGAACTGCATATAAGTTCCTAAATTAAGGCTATGTTTGGTTTAGTTTGGGGTGCTCCATGCTCTAAAGTATGTTTGAACACTGATATTTTGTCATGAAACTCGATATTATAGAAGCAAGATATAACTCTAAAATAAAAGGAAAAAAAAAGTTTCTTCAGCCGATACGAGAACACCTATTGACCAACCAAGAAAGAGCTACTATAACATACCAAGGCAAACCAGACCAAAAATATCAGGTCAGAAGCTTTGAGGGCAGGAACAGAGATGGCTGTGAAAAGGCATGACATGATCAATGGGGCAGAATTCAACACAGAAGCTTTGAAAGTAGGAACAGAGATGGTTGTGAAAAGGCATGACATGATCAATGGAGCAGAATTCAACACAGAAGCTTTGAACTCCTCTCTACAAAGATTGTGTGTGAATGGGAAGGTGGAAGAGATTAGGATTAATAGACCCATTTGTTTGTGCTTTTGTTTTTTAAATGAGCATATTTCTATTTATTTTTTGTGTTTATCTAATCTGCTCATTTTAAAAATAAGATGTTTTCTGCTTATTTTAATAAACAAATCTTATTCTCTACTTAAATAAGTGATTATTTTAACAATCACTTAGTTCATAAACACTTAATTTAAGTTTAAAAAGACTGGCCCAATATGGGTGAGAATTTATGTATTTGGCAACCTGGGTCTCAAAACCTGACCAATGAGCCCAGGTACAACAAATGTGTCTAGATACAACAAATGTGTCTAGATCGGGAATGGTTACATTTTAGATCCTATGACTGAGCAAGTAAGACTAGTGATTTCACTCTATTCCCACAGTTGCAATCCAAGGTCCGATCCACCACTTCCAGACCAAAGATCTTGACAAACTCAAGCATTTTTTTTTTGGACTAAGGTAACACAATCCAATAATGAAATCGTTATTTCTCAAATAACATTTATATGTGACAATCATGACGCTCTTCATATTAGGTCAAATCCCCTCTTACATGAAAGGACCAAACATATTAAGATTGATGATCATTTTATTAGAGAAAAGATTATATTTGGGGGAATGAAGACTAAGTTTGTTAATTCTAATGATTAATAAGCAGATGCGTTTACCAAATCATTACAAGGACCTAAAACTGATTATATTTGTAACGAGCTTAGGGCATATAATTTATATGCACCAATTTGAAGAAAAGTGTTAAGTGTAACCACGAGATCGTATGTTTCTATGATCTTTGTCACCTTCTCCGAGTTTGTGTGTCTTCTAGATCGCATTTTCAATGCATCATGTAGGATTGTTGATGAAGATTGTTGGAAGTCCCACATCGCCTACCTCATGTCATTTGGTATGGTTTAAATACATGTTAGGTTACTCCACATATTGCCAATTTGTTTTATGTTGGAACATTAATATGGTATCAGAGTCAAAAGCTAACATCTTTTCGGTTATTGTCATGGGCCAAAAGTTGTCATTTAATTGGGTCAAAAGTACCCTATGCCTGGTTCGGCAGGCTTCGTTGGAGAGGGTGTGTTGGAAGTCTCACATCGCCTATCTCATAACATTTGCTATGGTTTAAATACATGTTAGGTTACTCCCACATATTGCCAATTGGTTTTATGTTGGAACCTTAACAAAGATCAAAACTCGTAACAGCATAACAATCTTCTCCAAGTTCATTTGTTCCACTTCTGCACTTACAGTGGATGTAGTGGGTGTGGCGGCTACGACGTCATCTCGTGGGTGTGGCGATTGTGACACTATTGAGGGGTGTTGCAACTAGGTCGTTGGTGTGCAACTTCCATGTGTGACCTAAGTATTATTAGGTTAAATCTCCTCACCAGCTCAACAATCCTAAAGCCCAATAACCCAAGCAAATCCTACTTTCAAACTAAAAAAAATTAATGCACTGCGAAGGCAACCTCAATCATAATGAATAAGAATGTCCTCCATTAAAATTTAAATATTTGACATATTAATTTCATAAATTTTGTAGGATCTTATGATTCGTGTTACAATTTTTCGGCTTAGAATTTATACTACCCTTTCGGATCTTAAGTAAGATCTCAATTTTGACTACCTTGGATGTAAGGGGCTTAGCCCCACATCACTCATTTATTTCCTTAAACTTAGTATTTTTCTTATATATAAAAGGATAACACTATGTGCTTAATACACATTAGGGATTCAGCCTATGCCTCTTATTTCAACAAAGGGCAAGAGGATGAAGTTCTTTGCATCTCAACTCTAGAAGAGTAGGATGTTCTAATTGATGTGGTTTGTGAAAGAGATAAAGTTATTTAAGATCACTTGAATTTGGGTTTAATTTGAAAATTTATTATTAGACCTTAGCCATATAGATGTCCTTTATATTTGACTTGGTAGTTGATATTTGATAATGTGGTATTTTGATTAGGCTACTTAGACTTAAGTGATTAGGTATTTAACTTGTTTTATTTGTCACTCATGAGTTAAGACTTGGTTGACATGAGTTTTTTCTTATGCTTTATGATGAGTTTAAGTTTCATTAATTATTTTACAGTATGACTTGGTATATGTTTGTATCATTATATTTGTATATATCTCATATTCACGTAGGAGTAGGATCGATAATCTTTATTACATCCCATGATTTACAATCTTGTGAGCCCCTCATGGTCCTACTCATAATTTCAATTTTAACTACCTTGATCCTATTCCTTATATGTCTAATATGGACCTAGGGAATTATAAAATTACATATAATCAGAGAATCCATGATATTCTTTTTAAAAGGATGCGAACTGACCAAAATGATTAATTCAAGTCCTCTACATATTAAATCATTTCCTTTTCATCAGGAATCATACAAGACACCTCCAGCATTCCTACATGAACTACAAAATCAAGAGACTTTCGGCTAGTAATTTATTGAATAATAGGCTCTGGAAATTAGAATATAATAAGCCAGAAAATTTTCTATGGAACACATGAATGTAGCATAGTGCACCTGATTGACTAGCTCATGGATACTTCTTTTGCTGAGAATACTATTACAAGATTCATCAGTATCTGCATTTGTCAATCTACTTTGACTCCCTGGTTGAACTGTACTGGCTTGTGCTGCCACAAGGGATGAAGGTTTCTGATTTCCAGGCCCCTGTAGTCTCATAACCTGCTGCTGGTGAGGCAGGTGAAGAGGAGCCCTGGATGGTGGGGGTTGCCCAAAATGCTCCTGTGATTGATTAGACAGCAAAGGCGGTTGTTGTTGCTGCTGTTGTTGCTGGGATGATGAAGGTGTGGATTGCTGCTGTGGCGGAATATGTGATCTCTGCTGAATGGATTGTGGGTTCAATTGCTGTCTATAAGCCGGGGATGGCAAAGGAGGCTTCCCTTGTGACCCAGATGATAACCATGGCTGATTAAGTGACTGCACACTTTGTGATGAACCTTGAGATGGAGTCGCAGGTGAACCCACTGATGAGGGTCTCATAATTCCATGACCTTGGAAGCTCTGAAGAAAATGCAGCGAATTACAAAACTACCAACCTTTTTTTCCTCAAAATATGCATGTTGCATGAAAAGCACAAGCAGTACAGCATAACAGATGCAAGTGAGCAAGCCTCTCAAATACACAACAATTGAAATTAAGAAAATCTTAATATATTTACAATCTTACACACTAACAAGTCAAAACGACACATCAAGTTTCAAAACTTGTATAAATAAATATATTTTTTAAATCATATTCCTTTACCACCCGTAAACTAGGGAGAACACCCTTCCTCCATGCAGAACCGAAACCTGCCATTTTGGAAGTCTGAAGTGCATTCAAGGATCCCTCATAAGATACAATCATAAAAGCAATTCATAAAAAAGCACGACATTGATTCATAAAAAGCACCTAGCTATATCACTATATTTCTAAACTTTCTAACCCACCTTAAATCTATCGGCCCCAACATTTTAAAAAACAGCCCATGACTGCGGTTTCAGCTGCAACTTCATAGTTTTAGAGTCTCAATGACCAGAACTCAATCCCCATTTTGGTCATATCCGCCATATTTTTTTCCCGCAACATCAAGAAATGCCACAAATCAAATTTAAAGCCTTGAATGTAACAAACCCTCTAGGCCTAGCATAAAAATGAATTAGTGATAAGCATTGTCAAAAACATTTACACTAACTTGTGAACCACCGGGTTGATTATTCGGGGCAGACGAAGGAGGTCTAAGAGACGATTGCACGGGCCTCTGTTGATGAGCAGCGATTCCCCCAGGCCTCATTTGAGACCCTAACATCCCCATTCCTTGCACGGGTGTTCTCACCTGAGCGTAGTAACATTCATATACAAGAAATTACACTAGTCAACGAGCATGAAAAAAAAATGTAGCCACATTCATATTCAAAATAACGAAAAAATGCATAATATTACTTGAGAGGTGCTTGAATTGGAGGTAGATTCAGCAACACTGACTCCGGTTCGGCCCAGCCCACCAAAGTGTTGACCAAAGGATGACGAAAACGGAGGGGAGGGGCTCTGGTGGTGCGCGGGTACACCGATTGCCATGCCACCTCTCGGCGCTGCGGGGCCGCCGGGAGCGGAGGGCGGCGGAGAAGCGGAAGTGAAGTGCGGGAACTGCGGCTGCGACGGAGGCAAAGAGCGGTTGAAAGATTGAGGAGGGCGAGATTGGGGAGGCGTGGTAGTGGCGGGTTTGGGGTTCGGGGCTTGTGTTGGGTTTGGGCTAGGGTTAGGGTTAGGGTTTGGGGAAGTATGTGGTGGGGCTGAGATAGGAGGGGTTGATGATGTGGAAGGTGGAGGGAGAGGAGGGGCTGGTTTTGGTGGTTGAGGTTGCGAGGCTTCAACGGCACTCCGGCCGGTGGAGCCCGTCGCCGGAGGTTGAGAATCCATAGAGAAATGAGAATGCAATTGAAAATTTGAAATAGAGGAATGTCACTTGCTGAACACACGCTGTTCGATATTGCTTGAAATTTACCTCCAAATACTTGGTTCTTGGTTGGGTAGTAAGTGGTAACTTGTAATAAAGAAAAAAAAATAATAATATTATATCCATTAAACAAAATGTTTTATAATAAACATAATTACATTAAGACTTACCAAACATAGATATAATAAGTAAAACCTATAATATTTTTAAAAAAATTTAAAATCAATAATGTTTTATTAATATATATAATATAATTATATATTAAATTATTATATTTAAAATATAAATTCATTTTATTAATATAATTAAATTTAAAAAAATATTTTTATTTTTATTTTTATTTTTTTGTTATTTTTTTATTCTTTAAAGGTTCATTTTGTCTTAATACAGGATTAGGTGAAACTTAAAAACAAAAATCTATATAAAATATAAGTAGGTTAGTCTTATTTGATAAAATTAAATATTAGATTTAAATGGTAATTTAGATATTTATGTTAGTTTAAATTTAACAAATATTTATGTTAGTTTTGGATATTTTGTTTAGGCATATATTTTAAATAAAATATCTAGGATTAAGGATATGGGATATGGGTAGTTCATTCTGAATTTATAAATACTCATTTATATCTTTCAATTTTCACAATATAGAGAGTAATAATATTCAGTTTCCTCAATATCTTTGTTATCAAATTGGTATCAAAGTTAGGGTTTGAGTGTTTGAGTGTGAGAGAGCTTGAAGAGACTGATGACCAATTTAACAAATAGTGTGGCTCTATCCTAGTTCACAAAAGCAGTCAATTATGATAATTTGAGTCTCTAGATGAAGGTCCTTCTTAGAGTTCAAGATAATTGGGAGATGGTTTTGAAGAACCAAAAAGCAGTAAACTAATTTCAGCAGTCGCAAACAAAGTGTTGAAAGAGAAGTGTGTGAAGGATAACACATCCCTATAACTTTGAGAAAATAACAAGTACTAAAACTTCAAAAGAAGTGTGGGATGCACTAGAAAGAGCATACAAGAGCGATGACCGAGTCAAACAAGTTCGGCTACGAATACTACGTGGTGAGATGGAGAGCATGACAATGAAGGAGTCAGAAGGAGTTTTCGAATATATTATATGTATTGAAACTGTGGGGAATTAGTTTAATCGAAATAGAGAGGTGTTTTCTAAAGTTCGTGTTGAGGAGAAAATCTTGAAGAGAACTATGTTAGAATCGCGCAGCGGAATGTTTGCTTGAACGGACAAAAACCAAGAGGGGGGGGGGGGTGAATTGGTTTCTTAACAAAAATTAGGTTTTAAAAATTTTCCCCAAATTTTACCGATTCAAAAGTTGTGTAAACGTAAATAGGATAAGGATAGAGTCTTACACAGAAGATTTATACTGGTTCGGATCAAAAGACCTTACGTCCAGTTGTTAATCACTCAAACAGAGGATTAACGTTGTCACTATAATCAAAGTTATACAAGCAGATTACAAATGAAAAGATAAGGTAACGAAAACACCTCTCTTGAGTCACACAAGAGATGAAGAACAACTTTCCCTAGAGACAGCACAACACACAATCCACCAAGAACTCCACTTAGTGATTCTTATCGCTTCTAGCCCACACTAGGTTTCAAAAGCCCCTTTTTCCTCCAACAAACAGTTCTCTGGCAATCACAACTCTCAACTTTTGTTTGAAAAAGGTTGTTCAATTTGCAGAGAGCCTTAGAGAACCTTAAGTAGATGAATTAAGGTTTGGGAATTGGAGATTTTCGAAACTTGGTGTATTGGGACTAGGGTTTTCGAAAATAGGTTTAATTTGAAGTTCAAAATGCATATCTGACTGAAATAATCGATTATCTCAAGTGTTAATCGATTATTATAGAGTCAAAATCAACAGGAACCTATAACGCACTGTCTTAATCGATTATTTGGGTTGTTAATCGATTAACAGCCCTGTTAATCGATTATTCTAGAGAGCTGATATAGAAAATGGTTTTTCTCTCTGTAATAATCGATTATTTAGCCTGTTAATCGATTAAACCAGTGTGTTTTTGATAAAAATGAGTTTTTGAAGCTTCTAAAGAGTAAACTATGTGCTGGCTATCTTAGACTCTAATATTACAGACTCAAAATCATCAAAACAGAGTTATTACACAAGAATACAAGTCTTCAACTATTTAAGTCCATTGTTCTTGAATCATCATCAAAATCAACAAGCTTCATGTCCATGTAACTTCAACATTCATGTTCTTGTATGTTTCAACAATCTCCCCATTTTTTATGATGATCAAAATTTTCTTTTAAAGCTTTGTAATAACCTGTTTTATCTGTCACACTAACAAAAACATTAACCATACCAGATAATATTTAAATTTTATCATAAGAGGCTTTAAATATTTCTCCCCCTATTTTGATTATAATAAAAAAATTAAGAGCTCCCCCTCAAAATATGCATAACTTGGAGATAACTCCCCCTCAAACAAAGCAATAAAAGAATACAAAATTTATTTCATAAGTGAAAGTAATTTACAACACAAGAAATGAAAACAATATTAAAATTCTTCACTATCGCTATGAAAGTGAGCATCAAATTTATTCTCTAAGTGACACACTTTATCATCTACGTCAGAGATACGACGAATGATTTCCTCATGTCGTACTCCAGAGAGAGTGAAGAATGCCTGCATCCTCTGGTTCATATCAGATAACATGTCTTCCACAGATTGACGGGTTTCAGGAGGAGCAGAAGATGTTCCAGCACTTTGAATCTGATCAGAGGGAAACTCAACAGCAAGAGGCATATCTTCGTCAGAATCTTCATCATCTGCATCTATGTTTGGAACGTCATCCTTGTGAACATAAGTATTATTGACACGCACCATTTGAAGTTGGGTTAATGTGTTATCCAGCATTCGGTTTAAGTTTGTCGTTCGTACAATTTGTTCCCCTTCGACATTCACTCCTTTGTATTCAAGAATGCGAGAGATAAGGAGAGCATATGAAATTTTGAAGGTAGGATGACGTTTGGCCTTTAGCATAGTCATTGTGACAAGGCTGCCCCAATCTATTGGCTCACAATTCATTATTGCATGAATAATGTGAAGATCTATTGAAGAGCATTGGGCATGGTTGGTTTCCCGGGGACATAAGATCCAGACGAGTAGATGCAAGAGCAGGCGTTCCTCCTTCTTTAATGGTCCAGCTAGAAGAAGACGCCCAATCTCCATGGAAGGGTTACGAAGAAAAGAACGGTAAGCCATGATCCTATCAAAGTCATCTAACTCGGCAAAAATATTAATAGCATCATCTCTTATAGGAAAATGTGCAACGTTTTCCCATATATCGTCATCAAGAATAATGGATACTCCCTTAACACGAGAGGTAGCTACTTGATCTCTAAATTTAAAGAAAGAGTAAAATACCCTAACTAAGTCAGGATAATATGTACCTTGCATTTGGATAAAAGGGAGAACTCCTTGAATTTCAAGAAGATTAGGAAAATTAAATCCCCTATTGATGAATTGATCACCAATAAAGAATTTTGGAGTAATAATACCTCGTTCCTTCCAAAAATTGAGAAATTCCTGTCGACCCTCAGGATCGGAGATCCATCCTTCAACAGAATTAGGACGGGGATGAGAGGCAGGTGCAGATCTTCTTCTGGTGGGAATTTTAGCACGAGAAGATGAGGCCATTTTAGAATTAGAGGAATAACAAGAGAGTATAGGAAGACAAGTGATGTTAGAAGAAGGCAAGAATGATTGAATGATGCTAGAAAGCTTTGATTCAAGAGTTTGAGGTGTGGAGAAGTGAAATGGAGGTTTCCTATTTATAAACAACATCTCTAACGGTCATAAACGGTCATTTGGGAGTGCATAGGGACCAAAAGAGCCGTTGGCAATGGCTAGAAAACAAAAACTATTAGGTTTAATCGATTAAAACTTTTAATAATCGATTAAACCAGTAACAGACCCCTTTAATCGATTAAATCAAGCTATTAATCGATTAAAGTTGTAGTTAATCGATTATTTGATGAAATAATCGATTAATCCAATGAGTAATTTCATATTTTGGACATCTTAGGTGCAAATAATCGATTATTCCAGAGAGTTCATCAAATTTTTGAGGTTTAGACACATGATAATCTATTAACACCCTACATAATTGATTATAACATTACAACCATCCAAAAACTGTTTAATTAAGCAAAATTTAAGTTATTTCTAATATCCCTAAGTCTCTTCTAAGATCATAGAATCTATCATTGGGAAGAGGCTTAGTAAAAATATCCGTTAATTGATGCTTTGTAACAACATACTCAATTTTACAGTTTCCTTTACTTATATGATCTCTCAAGAAATGATGTCTAATTTTCATATGTTTAGTCCTAGAGTGCATTACTGGATTCTTAGTAAGATTGATTGCACTTGTATTATCACACATAAAAGGAATATCATTTAGAAATATACTATAATCTTCTAGTTGTTGTTTCATCCACAAAATTTGAGCATAACAATTACCAGCTGCAACATATTTAGCTTCAGTGGTGGATAAAGCAACACATGCCTGTTTCTTATAATGCCAAGATACTAATGATGACCCTAATAAATGACAAGTTCCACTAGTACTCTTTCTATCTATTTTGCATCCACCATAATCAGCATCAGAATAACCTATTAAGCTTGGAGAAGCTTCAGATGGATACCATAAACCAAAACCAGTAGATCCTTTTAAATATTTTAAAATTCTTTTTACTACAGTTAAGTGAGATTCTTTTGGACATGCTTGAAATCTAGCACACACACAAACAAAATGCATAATATTAGGTCTGCTTGCAGTCAAGTATAACAGTGAACCTATCATACCTCTATACATAGATTGATTAATTTCCAAACCTGATTCATCCTTGTCTAAATAGCATGAAGTTCCCATGGGTGTGTTAGCTTCCTTTGAAGTGTCCATTCCAAACTTCTTGAG